GGGAGGCCCCAGCTCCCTGGGGCCGGGCCTCACCAGTACCCTCCCTCTCCCGACACCCCATTCCTGGCCCCCATTTGCTTAAACTGGGCCTTCCTACACCACCTCCTGCTCTTGCCCTTCTCCCTTCTCTTGCTCCCCTCCTTTTCCCTCCCTTCCCCTCCCCCTTCCTTTTCCCGGCTCCTTTTCCCTTCCATTCATCTTAAAGGAAGGAAAGGACTGAGTTCCCCCTCGAGGGACACACCCAGATTTTCCTCTAGTGTGGGGAGAGGTCCTCCCAGAAGCCTTGAGTTCCTCCTGACCTCCAGGGTGTGTGTTTGTGGGAGGGTGAGCTTGGAGGTTGGTGGTTGAGAGCGATAACAAGCTGGCAAACTCATATGTGTCAGAGAGGCGCCGTGTTAGAGCCTACATTTAAGCCCACAGAAGGGGCAACCCGCAAGACCTGACGGTGGGAGATGGAGTAGTGATGTGATGGGATCTCTGCACACACATGTGTGAGTGACCTGTATGTGTGCATTCCAGTGGGAGTGCTGGGAAGCCTGTGTATATGCACCAGGCAATGGGCCTGTGAAAGGGGCCGGAGCAGATGTGACTGTCAGAAGTCACGCATGCCACAGGAGCTAGGCCTCCTCCCCCTCAGGCAGGAGGCATGTGTGGTGCCTTTGTCACTGGGGGTGTTGGGGGCGGAGGGCTGAGTGAGAGGGGGTGTGTGGATGGCAGGGCTTGGGCCTGACTGGTGGGTGAGTCCGAAGAAGTGTAGGATGACATGGAGGTGTGGGGAGGGACCTGTGCAGCCCCAGGTGGAGGTGTCAGAAGGCATGCTTCTTTACTTGGCACCTGCACAAGTGGTTCTCTGGATCTGGAGGAAGCTGGGAGCACCTGCTGCCTTGGCTGTTGGGAGAATGCCTTGTCCCTCTGGGATTGTCTTAGAGTCCCAGGCTCTTCTGGGTTTGGGCAGAGGCTTTTGTGTCCCTGTGAGTCTTCCCCCAACATTCCTTTAGGCTCTGAGGGGGAGGGGGCCTAACTCATGAGGGAGGAGAAGATTCCTGAGACCTCCCCCACTCCCCCACCTCCTCACATGCCACTAGCTTCCCTGCCCCTCCCTGGAAGGGAAGGGTGATTGTACCCATTCTGAAGTAGGGCAAACTAAGAATTTACGGCTGGCTCAGAAGAGGATTCTGGGTGTGGATTTTCAGCAGTTCTTTGGGCCCAGGCTAGGGCTGGGGCTGGGGTCGGGGGAGGTTTCTGGCTCAGAACCTAGAACCTTAGCTCATCTGGTCCAGGGTGGGTGGGTGGTGAGTCTGGGGCTTTACTTAGCTTTCCCAATCCTGGTGGGTCCTGCTCCCCAAGGCACTGACCTGTGGCCTGGACCCACCCTCCACCCCATGCGCAGTACAGCGGGGGCGGGCGGAGGGCGGGGCTGCTGCCAGATCTAGTCAGACAGGTGGAGCCGCCAGGGCAGGAGTCTCAAAGAGCCAGGCTCCGGGAGAGGAAGGGCTCTGCGAGAGGAGAGTGGAGCGCGCCGGAGAGGAGAGGCTGGAGGTGAGAGCCCTGGGAAAGCAAGGGAGAAACCTAGGGAGATGAGTGTCCCAGAGGGGAGAGGAGGAATCCGTGGGCAAAGTTCCAGAAAGGACAAAAAGGACCAGGGAGATCCGAGTCCTAGCAGAGGAGAGGATGGTCCCTAGAAGGGACTGGACTGGAGGGACCAGGGAGATGTGAGGGCAGGAGAGGAGAGACTGAAGGGGAGAATCCCTGGGGAGAAGAAAGACCCAGAGCTAGGGAGGTGAGGGACTTGGACGAGGAAAAGTGAGGAGGTTCATTCTGTAGATGAACTCCCTGTTGATGAGGAGGCAAGACTCTCCATAAAGAGACCAGGATTTGAGAGTTCTCTTGTGGAGGGAGAGGGGAGAGGAGCAGTGAGGAGAGAAGAGTAAGGTGTGGAGAGGAAGGGTGGAACATCCCTTTCCAGGCAGGCAGGATGTGTAGGGAGCAGATATTCCTGCCAAACTGACTCCTCCTCCTGCTAGTCCCCAGCAATTCCTTCCTTCCACTGTTCTCTGCCCTTTCTGCAATGAGGCACCAGGAGTTGTCTGGTTCTGTCTGGTCTCTGTGGGATGGGGGTGCACAGTGATCTCTGTCTGACACCGACCTCCGTACCTCCCCAGAGTCCTTAACCAGGATGGAGGCTGTTGTGAACTGGTACCAGGAGATGATGAAGCATGCAGGTAAGATACTGTCCACCACCTCTTTCCTCCCTTCTTCTCTGGTATCCCTGGATCTAGGGCTGACTCCTAGTGGAGAGTCCCTGTGCACCCCTTGGCCCTTTGTGCCCTGACCTCATGTCTGTAGACCTGGTGAAGACCCTTTGAACTCTTTGACCATCCCTGATTCCTTTAACCCTTATTCACAGATCCCCGGATCCAGGGCTACCCTCTGATGGGATCCCCCCTGCTAATGACCTCCATCCTCCTGACCTACATGTACTTCGTTCTCTCATTGGGGCCTCGCATCATGGCCAATCGAAAACCCTTCCAGCTCCGTGGCTTCATGATTGTCTACAACTTCTCATTGGTGGCACTCTCCTTCTACATTGTCTATGAGGTGGGCCTCTGGAATGGCCTGGGCTTTAATTCCTGCCTGCAGGATAAGGGGTGGGCCACAGGGCCCGAGCATGGCATCTGTTTTTTCTGGAGAGACTCAGTTTCATGTCTTCAGCTAGTGAAGGGATGGCTGGGCTGGGAGGGGAGAACTGTGGTGGTCTAATCCACACCCCTTCGTAGTTTCTGATGTCTGGCTGGCTGAGTACCTATACCTGGCGCTGTGACCCTGTGGACTTTTCCAACAGCCCTGAAGCACTTAGGGTAAGTAGGGGCTGGGTCTAGGTCATAAGCAACCTGGGGGATAGGAGCAGTGTGGGACCTGTGCTCATGCCAGTTTGGGGAGGCTCTTGGAGTAGTGTGTAGGGTCCTAAGGCTGCCCTGACTTTTTGCAGATGGTTCGGGTGGCCTGGCTCTTCCTCTTTTCCAAGTTCATTGAGCTGATGGACACGGTGAGTAGGTAACATGAGATGTGAGAACTTGAGAGAGAACAAAGGGGAGAGGCCCAGGTTATGAACCCCCTTCTCTCACTCTTCTCTCAGGTGATCTTTATTCTCCGGAAGAAGGATGGACAGGTGACCTTCTTACATGTCTTCCATCACTCAGTACTTCCCTGGAGCTGGTGGTGGGGAATAAAGGTTGCCCCAGGTGAGTGGTAAAAGGCCTTTGGGGGAAGGGGGTGGGCACTGGGGATGAGGCTCAATTCTGTTGTTTTCTTGTTCACTCACAGGTGGAATGGGCTCTTTCCATGCTATGATAAACTCCTCTGTGCATGTCATCATGTACTTGTACTATGGATTGTCTGCCCTTGGTCCTGTGGCTCAGCCCTACCTTTGGTGGAAAAAGCACATGACAGCCATCCAGCTGGTGAGGAGCCATCCCAACATTCCTAGTCTGGATCCTGCCTTGTCCAACCTATCTCACTTTTGACCCCATCCCTCCCCACTCAATGTTTCTTCCTCTACCCCCTCTTCCCCTCTAGTTCTCCCACTGTTCCCTCTGACCCTTGCCTTTTTACTCCTAGATCCAGTTTGTCCTGGTCTCACTGCATATCTCCCAGTACTACTTCATGCCCAGCTGTAACTACCAGTACCCAGTCATTATTCACCTCATCTGGATGTATGGCACCATCTTCTTCATGCTGTTTTCAAATTTCTGGTATCACTCTTACACCAAAGGCAAGCGGCTGCCCCGTGCACTTCAGCAAAATGGAGCTTCAGGAATTGCCAAGGTCAAGGCCAACTGAGAAACATGGCCTAGATAGGCGCCCACCTAAGTGCCTCAGGACTGCACCTTGGGCAGCATCCGTCAGTGCCCTCCCCATCACCTGTGACCAGGGCTTATGTGGTCAGGACTGAGCAGGGGACTGGCCCTCCCCTCCCCACAGCTGGACTATAGGGACTACCGCTTCCGTTCCTCACCTGCTTCTCCCGGCCAGCTCCAGGGATGTGGCCTCATTGCCCTCCAGAGCTGAGGGCTAAAAGGGCTGGACACTTACTTCCCCCTCCCTGTCAAACTTGGGAGAGGAGCACTCAGGGCTGGCCCCACCAGGGTCTTGTGGCCTTTTTCCTCACACTGAAGAGGTCAGCAATAATCTGTCACTGTGGACCCAGTTTCCCTCCTCCACTGAAGCAGGAGCTTCTGGCCCAAAGGTCAGGGTGGGTGGGGGCCTAGGAATACAGCCTATGGAGGCTGCTTACTCACTTGTGTCTTAATTAAAAGTGACAGAGGAAACCACTGAGGCTGTGTGTGTACATGCATGAATGGAGGAGGTGGGATGTTCAGCTTGCTGAGCCCTGTCTACAGACAGGAGGGACATTTGTAGCTCTCTGATCCTAGTAGAAAGGAGCCCCTTGGAAAACTGTTGGGACATAGGTCATGAGAAGAGAAGAAAGGGGACATGACTTTATTAGAAAAATAAAAAAGAACTGAGGTGATAGGTTGGTCTTCAACGAATGCCTTGGTGGATGAGGCTGCTTTTGGCCGCACTAGCCTTCTCCCGCTCCCGCCGCCGTGCAGGGTCCAACTCAAAACAGCGCCATAGCCTCAAGGTCTCATCTGCTGCTGCTGATGCCACTGTGGCTCCATCTGGGCTCATGGTCAGACTCAGGACCCGGGATGTGTGACCTGATCAAATAAGAGCAGTACATATGAATGTAGACATGCCAGTAGCCCTCACAATTTTGATGGCCACCTCCCTTTTTTTTTTAACAGCTTTATTGAGGTATAATTCTCATGTCATAAAATCCATCCTTTTAAAGTGTACAATTTAGTGGTTTTTAGTATTTTTTACACAATTGTGCAACCATTAAAATCAATTCTAAAATATTTTTGTCACTCCCCATTAAGTTTTCCCCTCAGTCCCTAGCAACCATTAAAACTATCTATTTTGTCTGTCTGGACATTTTACATAGAAGTCATACAATATGTAGCCTTTTGTGTTTGGCTTTTCACTTAGGCACTACTTTACCTTTGAGCTCAGCCACCTTGGCCATAGTTGGGTACTTCCAAATAACCAGCTGGTTCTGGGCAAAGCCATGGCCTGAAATGAGCTCCTTGTAGTGGGGAGACCAGAGAATGGAGCACACCTGTGGAAAGGGATGGTGTGAGCATGGAATACAGCCCTGGCTGCTCAAACCAGAAATGAGTCCATTCTAGCATTAAGCAGCACAATCCTTATAAAAGTCCTGAGAGACAATCACAGATGGTCCCCAACTTAACAACTTTATGATGGATTTATTGGGGCATAAGTTGGGGAGCATCTATTACCCATTTTACAGACAAGGAATCAATCAGTAGTAAGTTCAGCAAGTTGCTTAAGTCACATGCGAATTAAGTTAGTAGGTGGCAGATCCCATGTAGAATGAAGTTGCTTGTGGGGAGAGTGGAAGGAGAGGAAGCTGAAGTAGCTGCAGGGAAGCCCACCAATAAGAGCCTCAAATATCTCTAACGGGTTTGGATCATATGCCATAGGTGATGGGAGCTGCTACAGGTCTAAGGAGGGCAGTAACAGACCACAGCATAGAGGACAGAGTGGAGGAGATAACACAAATAATAAAGAATAACAGACCAGTGAGCGGTGAGGAAGTTGTTGAAGTGGGTCTCCACTGGGAAGAAGGAGGCTGAGGGGAAGGGGACAGATATGAATGGTATTTTGAGGTAAAACTGTTATGACATCTCCTGGTGAGGAGGATGAAGGATTCTAGGAGGCTGTTCAGATTTTTTGAGCAGGTTCTGCCACTCTGAAGCAATATAAGAGAAGGAGAAACATTTCAGGGAGTCAAGGGAAAGTGACAAGTTTAATTTAGGACATATTCAAGTGGTGGTACCTATAGTAAATAGAGTTGGAGACAGTCACAGACCATTTGAAATGATTTTGAGTGAGAGCTGAATTTAGGAATCAGAGTGTAGAGTTGGTAAAGCCATTGGAGTGGGCATCTGGGAGAGAGGCACCTCTGGGAGTGACAGGTAGCAACAGGTAAAAGACTACCTGGGAATGGGTATCCACAGCACTCAGACAGGCCCCAGAGCAGACGTTCCATATGCGAATGTGTCGATCACTGGTGCCCCCTCCTGTTGCCAGGACATTGGACTGCCAGGGACACCAAGCTACAGCCTAGGTGGGATAAAGGCAGGGTCAGCAGGTACTAGAGCTAGACAAGGAGCTATATGGGTCACACATTAATCTAATCCCACCATCCCATCTCCCCTTAACAATCCCCAGGTTATTGGTGAGGGTCTGCAGAGGCCTCAGCCCAACCCCACTCACCTTGACAGCCCCTTGATGCTGAGTGAATGTTTGCAGAGGAACCCAGCCACCCTCTCCTGGAGCACTAGGCCACACATTGACCAAGTTATCATTGCCACCACTGGCCAAATGTCGTCCATCTGGGGCCCAACGCAGTCCACACACTTCCTGGCTGTGGCCACTCAGTGTGGCCACATGGTGTTCTGCTACCCGAACATCATGGTGGTGGATATGGCCGGCGCGTGAGCCACTGGGGAAGGGAAGAAGGTAATCAGATTCTGTGGTAGCACCAAACACAAGCCAGAGCTGTTTTGTTCAGAGGTGTACAGGCAAGGGAAGAGTGGGCAAAAATCAGACTGATTTTGCCACAGACTGGCAAAAACCACTAACCTGGAAAGGATATAGCTGTTCCAACTTAGGGAACCTACTCGAGCAGAGTGACTGGTCATATTTCGAAGCCGTTTCTGCTGTTGCACATCCCATAGCTAGAGAGAGACCACTAGGATCAGAGCCTGGGACTTCTTGGCATTAACATCCTCCAGCCAGGCAAGCCCCCAGGTCTGATGAGGCTAGAGTTGCAGTACAGGGACAAGTCTCACCTGCACCTCAGCACTGCTGGTGCCCACAGCCAAGTAGTTGCCCTCTTTGATCCAGGCCACAGAGGATACATATTCCCCAGGCTGCTCCATTTGCAACAACTGAAGGATGTCACCAGAGCCAGCACTCCACAGGTACACGCTGTTATCCAGTGCCACAGCCAGTACGTTCCCAGAGCTCCAATCCACAAGGTTCAAGTCTGCCAGAGATGGAAAGACAAGAGCATGAGTGCCCTTGCATGCCTGGTTCCCCTCTTTGTCTATTTCCCAGGCAAGGATAAGATTGCACTTACAGTAGTCATTTCGGATTTCAGGGGCATCCAGGATCCGGTCTGGCAGGGAGGGAATGTAACGGCAGGTCTTTCGGCTGGAGCCAGGTGTGGCCTTCTGGCTATAGAGTACTTTCAGTCTGTTCTGGTAACCTATGGCAACAAAGCACGTCTAGACACTGGAAAAATCGACACCTCCCTAGCCCTCAGTTTTAGGTAGGAAGAGCAGACAAACATCTCCCCTCAGCCCAGGGAATGAACTGATACCTCTCTCCAAGAACCAAGACCCTCGGGTCTTACCCTCTGGGGCATTTTGTGGTTTTCCACTGAGCCGAAGGATCTTGGCTTCCTCCACATCAAAACCGTTCAGATTCAAAGCCCAGGCTTTCTGATGTTCCTGGCATAGAAGGGTGGTGGTGAGGCAGGATGGTATTACCCAAAGAACAGTCAAATCCCGTGCCTTGAACCCTCTGAGACACATACCTTCTTGGTGGGCGTCTGGTTGTCTTCCGGCTGATTCTCCTTGCTTAGAAGGAAGCTGGCCACCTCCATCTGAGAAGCGCTGCGATGGGGGATATAGCGGTCGCCGCCAGGCTTGCTAGGAGTGGTCTGAACTTTGGAGCTGGATTTGCCTGGGGCGGAGAAAGAGAAGCCAGACGGTGTGACCAGGCTCCCGGGGGTAAGCGAGCACGAAAGATGCTCTCAGTCGTCCACTCTCGCACCCGGGTTCTTTCGCACCCCACTGACCGGGAGTTCGGCCCGGAGTCCTGCCGGCGCTGTGAGATCGGTTGGCGGCCCGCATGGGCGAGGGGGCCGGGCCTGCGGCCTCCTTGGCCTTGCGCTGCCAGCGCGCAGGGGGCGCATTGGGGATGGGTGCGTCCAGCTGCAGAAGCGAGTGCAGGTCACTCTCGAACACGAACTGCGCCATGGACGCCGGAAGGGGGAGGGGTCCTCCTGGCGTCGGTGCCCGCTGAGCTCTGGAGGAAGGGGCGACCGTGCTCAGAGGGCAGCGAAGGTCTCCTTCGCTCTCGGTCAGCCACACAATCGGGGCCACCCACGGCGACAGCCCTTCCGGCCTAGCACAGCGGGCTGCAGCCCAACCCCAGATAGCCCAGGCACCTCTCACCGTGCGCTCTTGATTAGGTTCCAATCCCGGACCGGCTTCTGCAAGACGGGCTTAGGCTTCTTAAACTCTCCGCTCCGAGCACTCATTGGCTCTTTCAAAATCCAACCGACGCACCCGTCGCCCTCGCCCATTGGTCTCTACAGCGCAGGGGGCGGGTCTTCCGGGGTAAGTCTCAGATATCACGAGAATCCAGCCTAGGAGCATGATTTGAAGGGTGGGAGACAGTCTGAAAGCTGCTCGCGGATAATTGGTGTCTGAAAGCGAGAGGGGCGGGGCGGGGCGCTCTTGGGGGCGGGGCCTGCGCTGCTTCCGCGTGTCTGATGCGCTGCCATTCACTCCTAGGAATTCCTGCATCTGCTGCGAGCCTGAGGTGTCCGGGTGCTCCGGGGGGTCTGAATGCCTGCGGATGCTCACACTTAAAGCCTGCGCGTGGGTCGTATTCTTGATACACACGTGCAGAGAGAACACAAAGCGCTGGAGCCAGCCAGAGGAGAGAAGGGAGAGCCGGCGGGTGGTGGGACGGCCCAGGGGACGGAGCCAGACCCTTGGGGGCGGGAAGAAGCCAGGGCTGGGTGGGGTCATCCCGCCGTGCGTGGCGTCTAGTGGGAACCCTGCGGGAGAGGAAGTAACACAATTGTGTGTTTGGTGTGTTTGCTGTTTTGCTAACCGGGAAAATGAGTCTGAAAGAGGGGAAGTTTTTAAGGTCTAGAAAAAGGATCAGGATTCAAACCTGCCTGTCGGAAGGTAGGTTAGGCTGCCCTACAGGAGATGTTGTGACTTGAACCCCATGGGACTTTCTTAGACGTGTCCCCCTCCCGGCAACAAGCCCATGTTTTACAGATGGCGAAACCGAGGCCCAGGGAAGGGATGTGTCCGAGGTGCAAAGAAGTTGGTGGTAACCCAGTTCTGCTTCCCATTCAGCCCCGTGCTCTGTCTTGAATGAATTGTGTGAATGTGCTCAGAGGTGAATAATACAAGTAATAGTGGATAGCACTTATTGATCTTCTGCTAACTTCTGTGTTGAAAGTCTATGTACATTATACAATTCAATCCTTAATCCCTAAGGTAGATACTGTATCTGCATTTTACAGAAAAAGAAACCGGGTCAGAATGAGGTTAGAAACTTACCCAAAGGCACACAGAATTTTCTGGATACCATAGCATACTGCCAGGATTCAGGGATAGTCAGATAGTTTAAATCCTTCAGGATTTAAGTTGTTTAATTTAATCCCCGAATCCTGGCAATATGCTGTGGTATCCAGAAAAAAATCAGGAAAAATTAGATTTTTCAATCAGCCTAAAATCAATTCTGATGATAGATAAAGACTTGGAGCTCTTTGTCCCAATTTACTGTTATCTTTTACTTTGAAGCATTCATGTTCTCTGTTTCCAGGCATCTTGGAAAACAGAGTTGGATGTGCTGGGGTTAAAAGTGGGACGTTCCTGAACCCCAGAAATCATAGAAAAGGTCGTCTAAGGCCAGGTGTAGTGACTCACACCTATAATCCCAGCACTTTGGGAGGCCAAGGTGAGAGGATTGCCTGAGTCCACAGGTTCGAGACGAACCTGGGCAACTTGGCGAGACCTCATCTCTACAATAAATAAAAAAATTTGCGGGGTGTGGTGGCACATGCCTGTAGTTCTGGAAGGCTGAGGCAGAAAGATTGCCTGAGCCCAGCAGGTCACGGTTACGGTGGCCGAGAGTATGCCACTGCACTCCATCCTGGGTGACAGAGTGAGACTCCAACTCAAAACAAAAAAAATTAGCTGGGTATGGTGGCATATCCCTGTAGACCCAGCTACACAGGAGGCTGAGGCAGAAGGATTGCCTGAGCCAGGAGTTTGAAGCTGTGAGCCATGATCATGCCACTGTACTCCAGCCTGAGTGACAGAATGAGACCCTGACTCAAAAATAATAATAATAAAAACAAAGGGATGAAGAAAGGCAATGGAGATTATACGGACATGGATTTTGAAGTGGGAGGAGTTCTATGATGTAAAAGTGGTCAAGTAGAATGATGGCAGAAAGGGTAAGAATTGGCTATTGAGAAACATTGCTGGTGACTTTGGAGAGGACAGGATCAGGAAAGTGGGTATCTGAGATCCATTTGGAAGGGGTTGCAGAGAAAATGGGACAGGGAGAACGTGGAACCAAGCATAGGCTCCTTGTGTGATTTCCATTGTATTCATTTGCTAGAGTTGGCACAAACTGGGTGGCTTAAATGACAGAAATCCATTGTCTCACAGTTCTGGAGGCTGTAAATCTCTGGTCAAGGTGTCAGCAGAGTTGTTTCCCTCTGAGAGCTGTGAGGAAGGATCTGTTCCATACCTCTCCTCTAGCTTCTGGTGGTTTGCTGGCAGTTTTTCGCTTGTAGAAGTGTCACCCCAATCTCTGCCTTCATCTTCAGTGGGCTTTCTCCCTGTATCTGTGTCCAAATTTCACTTTTTGTAAGACTACTAATCAGATTGGATAGGGCCCATGACCTCTTAACTAATTGAAATCTGCAACGACCCTATTTCCCAATAAGGTTACATTTGAGGTACTAGGGCTTAAGATTTCAGCATCTGAATTTGTGGGATGGGGGGACAGGTGGAGGGACACAACTCATAATATCCTCCCACTGGTGGAATTCAAACAGAAACCATTGCTCAAGGGAATGAGTTGATGCAGGCCATATGAATTAGCCTTGCACAGCACAGGACGAGGTGAAGAAAGATGGAGAGTAGGTCTGGATAGGGAAAATGGATGACATCAGTATGCCTACTCTCAGTAGGTCCTTCCCAGCCACGTGAAGGTTCTGACTCTGTTCTTTAGGGACCCAAGGCTAGTGTGGGAGGAGTGTGAGCTTGAGCTATTTGTTCCCCTAGCTCCTGTCAGATCTCTCTCCTGCCAGGCAGTTCTCTTTTAGAGTTACTCTCTGGAGCTACCACTCCCTCCCCTTCCCTGGTTGCCTGGGGTGGTGCCAGCTCCCTATTGTCAGCCCTCAGGTACTGCACTGTTGCTTGATGGTTTTCCCAACTCTTGCCCTTCTCTTTGTAAATACTGTGTTCCCTTTATTAAACTCTCATCAAATTACCCAGTTTGGTACTATCTATTTCTGCCAAGACCCTGACTGATACAGTGGGTATGTTTGGAGCCAGCAAACCCCCCAAAAACAATAAATGGTTTTCATATGTTTGGAAATTTGAATGGCTTAGAAGACTCTATATGCAGAATTATCTAAGCAAATTCACTGCTGCATATGAATGGTTTAGAGGATGAGGGAAGTTGGCATGGGGTTAAGATAACTTTGCCCAGAAATAGTTCATTCATTTAGAAAATATTTATTAAAGACCAACGATCATGCACCGAGCACTAACCTAGGTGCTGGGGGAAAAGGGCAAATAAACTATGGCCCTTGCCCTCAGTGAGCTCACAATCTGGTAATGGGAGACAGACATGTAAATAGTGACTTGCATAAAGCATCATAGGTGCTATGGTAGAAGTCTGGGTGGGAGATAAGAACTTTGGAATGATCACCATACAACAGAGACAGGGAGAACAGATGGAACTAGAGACTATATTAAGAATGGAGTGGCCAGGCTTGGTGGCTCAGCCTGTAATCCTGCGCTTTGGGAGGCTGAGGTGAGTGGATTGCCTGAGCCCGCGGGTTCGAGACCCACCTGGGCAACTTGGTGAGACCTCATCTCTACAATAATTAAAAAAAAAATCAGCCGGGCGTGGTAGCGCGAGCCCAGCAGGTTGAGGCTGCGGTTGCTCGGAATGGCCACTGCACTCCAGTCTGGGCAAGAGAGTGAGACTCCAACTCAAAAAAAAAAAAAAAAAGAATGGAGTGGAAAAAATGACAGAATAAGAGAGTAAGAAGGAATAGACAACAGTTCAGCTATAGTTATCATTTACTATGTCCTAGGCACTGTGCTTTACTTAGATTATCTTACTTCATACTCTCCACAACTCAGTAGGGTGCTGCTATTATAATCTGTTTTACAGATGAGAAAACTAAGGCTCAAAAGTCATTTGCCCAGGTTGTGCAGCTAGCAAGTGTGAAAGGACTTGAACCCAGCTCTGACTCCAGGATTTATCCTCTTAACTACTAGTATACTCAGAGAGGCAGGAGCAGAGCCAGGAGAGAAGATAACTTTATGGAAGCCAAGGTAAGAGAGAATTTAAAGGAGAAAAGAGTAGTCAGCCATGATGAATGCCACAGAGAGATCAAATAAATTGATGATTAACAAGATCCTATTGGATCTTGCAATTAGATGGTGAACTTGAGGTGAACTTTGCCTGGGAGTTTTCATTAGAAAAGTGGTCATAGGGGAACTAACTGAAGTAGTCTGAAGAGTAAATAGGAAGAGACATAAAGGTTTGTTTTCAAGGAGTTTGGTATTAAAAAGGAGAGAGAAAGAAGGTAAAAGAGGGGCTTAGTTAAGTGAGCCTGCCTGTGGAGAAAGGATCTTGGACTTATGTTAGCAGCAGTATAGCAAGATCTGTGCTATGAAGCCCACCTGTGAGGGTAGACAGAGGGGAGTGGAGGTGAGGTCTGAGGTGCTGGTGTTGGGGAGGTTCACAGAGAGGTCTAGAAGGTTTAGATCTGTTCAGGGTGCTGGGAGTGAGGCACCTGCCCTCAGGGCTGCTGCCAACAGCTTAGCGGTAGGTAGGAATGGTTGGCAATGTGGGTGGTACAGCAGGACCCCGGCTCAGCCATGGGTGGGCATACAGACAGGGGCATGGTCCCCAGGCAAGAAGGCTGCAATCCTCGGTAGTCTGTCTGGACCTGGGAGGAACACAGGGGCAAGGGAGTCCTCTCTGAGGACTTGGGTAGGATTTCAAGGAGGCTGGGTTCCACTTCTTCATAGGCGTCAGAGACTGCGGCCTTAGGCTGGGAGAAATGAGGGAGAGGAGCTGGATTAGAGTAGATCCTGTGGGAGGAAGGGGTGGACTGTGTAGGCAGGAGAACTGGGAAGTGGGTAGTGCCTGGGGATGTTACCCTGGTAGGCACGGACCTTGAGCAAGTTGTGTTGCGGGGGCAAGGATCCAACACCGGTGGTGGGACAGCAGAGGAGAGCATACTCACTGGACTCAGAGCTGCAGTATCCCTAAGGTACTGGCCTAGGACCCGGTGCAGGTCTGGAAGGGAGGGCCACAGAGCATGCCTCAGTCTTCTAGGGGAGAAGGACGAGGAGGAGACTGAGTCATAGGAATGAGTTGGAAGGGATGAGAAGAGCACTGAGGTGTGATGGTAGGGAGGCATTGAGGGGAGGGAGTAAGGCTTGAGAGAAAATAGCATGGTCCAGGCAATAAAGTAAGAAGAAAACCTCAGGTGGGGGAGGGAATTTGGTGGTGGGCCAGGGCAACAAATGGTGGTGCCTCAAACACTCCTGCTTCAGGGCCTTTGCACTTTCTGTTCTTTCTGCCTGGAACAGTCAACTCATTCCCTCATTTCATTTAGGTCTCTACTTAAATGTCATCCCAGTTACCCTGCCTGAAAACATAGTAGTCCCCACTTATCCATGGGGGATATGTTCCAAGACCCCCAGTGAATGCCTGAAACTGCAGATAGTACTGAGCCCTATAAATACTATGGTTTTTCCTATTCATACATACCTATGAGAAAGTTTGTAAATTAGGCACAGTAAGAGTAACAATAATTATAAAATAGAACAATTAGAACAATATACCAGCATCATTACTCTTGCATTTTGGGGCCCTTATTAAGTAAAATAAGTAATAAACACAGCACTGTGATATAGTTGATCTGGTTACCAAGATGGCTGCTAAGTGACTAACGGGCAGGAGGCATATACAGTATGGATTCACTGGACAAGGGGATGATTTACATCCCAGGCGGACGGAGAAGAATGGCAAGAGATTTCATCATGCTACTCAGAATGGTGCACAATTAAAATTTATGAATTGTGTATTTCTGGAATCTTTCATTTAATATTTTTCAACCTTGGTTGACTATGGGTAACTGAAACTGCAAAAAGCAAATCTGCGGATAAAGGGGGGCTACTATAGATTGTTCCACTTCCCTTCCCCACCATTCTCTGTCTCCTGCTGCTCTGTTTTTCTTTCTGGCACTTGGCTTGTACATTTATTAATTGTTATACAGGGGGTCCCCAAAAAAGTATACACATTTTAAGAGATGTTATATAGGTATTACTTTTTTTAAGTTGAATTAAATTACAGTAGCAATATGTTGTATGACATTTGCTCAGCCATGCTTCTGCCATTTTCCTTGTCCTGCGTGTTGCATGGTGATGATAGCATTCGTTGAATTAACACCATCTTTTGAGTGAACGTCATACTTAAAATGTGCATACATTTTTTTTGTCTCTCACTTCACTTAAACTTATGCTCTGTGAGAGCAGAGAGTTTGTCCATTTGTTCACTCCTGTTCAGGGTATAGAATTGTGTCTGGCTCACAGGAGGTGCTCAAGAAATTAGTTGAATGAATGAAAAGAACCAGTGGAGCTTATTACTAAGTTACTGGCGAGGGTGGTGTATCTGGGAAGAGTATGGATTCAGGTGTGTTGGGGTAACCTCTAATTCTTCAGTCTTATATTTGTGTAGGGACTTTAGCTGAACAACATTTCAGGCCACTTCAGTGACCTCATTCATATCTTTCTAGGGGAGGAGCAGTGACTTGGTAAGTTGGGGAAAAGGAACTGAGTATGCCTGGCTCAGCAGCCCGTCTTCCTTTCTCTCCCAACTCTTTTGGATTTGGCTACCTGTGTGGAGGCTAACTTGCAGTCTGCTCATATATAGGACCAGATTAGAAATTCACACCTCTTATCAACAGGGTGCCTGAATGAAACGTAATTGTACACCTAACCCTTAACTGTACCCCACAAAACCATAATAAAAAATACTGATTAAAAAAAAAAAAAAAACAAATTCGAAGAGAGCCATGTTCAAAGGGAGACAGGAGCTCATGAACGCAGCACCTGGCCCAGCCTGGGACCATCAAAAGACTCTGCCTGGGAGAACTGACCTCTGAGCTAAGTCTTCTAGAATCAGCAGATGTGCTGGATGAGGTGGCTGAAGCCTATAACCCCAGCACTTTGGGAGGCTGAGGCAAGAGGACTGCCTGAGCCCAAGGGGTTCGAGACCAGTCTGGGCAGCTTGGTGAGTCTTCGTCTCTACAATAAATCAACAAATTGGCTGGGTGTAGTGGCTCATGCCTGTGGTTCCAGCTACTCAGAAGGCTGAGGCAGAAGGATCGCCCGAGCCCAGTAAGTCGAGGCTGCAACGGCCATAAGCATGCCACTGCTCTCCAGTCTGGGCAACAGAGTGATACTCCAACTCAAAAAAAAAAAGAGCAGATGTTACCACTCGAAGGACTGGAGGTGGGATAAATTCTATCCTTCATGTTTATAGCCTCCGAAGGCATTTCTCCTCAGCTTTAGTCTTCCCACATAAATGAGTCATTCATTAATAACATTTATTTAAGGGCCTGCTTTTGGCAGGCACTGCACTAAGGATTTAAAGATGACCAAGTAAGGTATAATAGAAGATATATAAAGAAATGAATGCGGTAAAGTGCTACTGGTATGGTATTGGAGCACAAAATGGTGGCCAATGGGGGATGGTCAGGAAAAGTGTTTTAAGAGTTGGTGAAGAAAGTTATTTAAAGATGAATGGGTTTAGTCAGACAGGGAGGATATTTCAGGCAGAGGGGACATTATGTGCAAAGGCACTGAGAAGTAAACCACCTGACTTGTGGAAAAAATCACCAGCAGTTTGGCAAAGCTGATGCATGTAGAGGATGGTGGAAGTGCTGGCAGGGGTCAGATTTTGCAGAGCTGTGCTTGTTATCCTATGTAGCCTGGACTATGTCCTGGGAACTATTAAAGGGATTTAAGGAGGGGAATGATAGGTTCATGTTTGCATTTTAGAAAGATTATTCTGGTGGCTGTGTCAGGGTAGACTGGAGGGGAAAAGAGGCTCCGTTTCAGTCAGGAAGTGTCTGCAGGGTTAGAAAAAGGGGGCCATAGGCCGGGTTCGGTGGCTCAGCCTGTAATCCCAGCACTTTGGGAGGCCGAGGCGAGTGGATTGCCTGACCCCGCGGGTTTGAGACCAGCCCGGGCAACTTGGCGAGACATCGTCTCTACAATAAAAAATTAGCCAGGCGTGGTAGCGTGAGCCTGTAGTTCTGACTACTTGGGAGACTGAGGCGGAAAGATCACCGGAGCCCAGCAGGTTGATGCTGGGGTGGCTGTGAGTGTGCCAGGGCACTCCAGCCTGGGCGACAGTGAGACTCCAACTCAAAAAAAAAAAAAAAGGGCCGGGCGCGTTGGCTCAGTCTGTAAACCCGGCACTTTGGGAGGTTGAGGCGAGAGGATTGCCTCAGCCTGGGGGTTTGAGACTAGCCTGGGTAACTTGGTGAGCCCTCATCTCTACAATAAATCACAAAAACTAGCCGGGCATAGTGGCGTGTGCCTGTAGTTCCAGCTACTTGGAAGCCTGAAGCGGAAGTATCGCCTGAGCCCAGCAGGTCGATGCTGCGGTGGCTGTGAGTGTGCTACTGCGCTCCAGCCTGGATGACAAGAGTGAGACTCCAACAACAAAAAAAAGAGAGAGAGAGAGAGGGAGAAAGGGGGCCACTGTTTGAACAAGGTTTAGGAGGTGGAATGATCAGACCTGGTGGTCGATTGGATAGGGGTGGGGTGAGGAGGGAGATGTCTAAGTGTTTTGCCCTGGATGAAGGAAGGACTGTAGCCTTCCGGGATAAGCAGCAGGAGGTGGGGCTGTTTGAGGTGTCCCGTATAATGGGAATGTTATAGTGTAAGGAGCCGGTGCGATTCCCAGAGGAGACGCACAGAAAGCGGTTGAAGCCATAGGTGTGGCCGTGCGGTGGTCCAGAGAGCGGGTGTCATAGAGCGACCCTAGGATGCTCTTTTAGAGTCCTTCGGCCCCACCCGGTCCACGGCCCGCCTCCCGCCTGGCGGGTTCAGTACCTGTAGTGCGCAGGAAACTGCCACCTCAGCAGCAGCAGGCCCAGGAGGGAGCTGAGGCCCAGCACTAGGAGCAGAGCGGTCACCAAGGAGATCCAGGCTAGAGGACAAAAACACTCAGACCTCCGCCCATCCTGGCTGGAGCCCCGCCCCCAGGCCCGCCAGTTCTTTTTTCTGGCTCCGCCCCTAACTGCCTCTGGGCACTGCAGACGGGCGCACCAGCTGATCGGTGCGGCCAGACACTGCCCCTAGCCGCGGCCAGACACTGCCCCTAGCCGCGCCCAGCGCCCCGCCCCTTCCCGACGCCCCGCCCCTCCCTCACGCAGCCGCAGTGCGGCGTTGGCCGGGCTTGACCTAGCCCGGTCCTCACCGGTGTCTGAGGCGGTCTCCACCCTCGCGGGGTTGGACCAGGCGCTCCAGGGGCCTTGGTAGGTGGGGCCACTGAGCCTGGCGCGCAGCTGTAAACGGTAGCGAGATCGCGGGCGTAGTTCCAGGGTTCCTCCCCGGGCCCCGAGGGGCGGCTCCAGCACCTGCGCAGAAAAGCGTGCGGTGGCCCGGCGTCCGGGCCTCGACAGCCGGCATCTGTTTGGCGCAACTCCTACCGCTGTGAATCCCCGGGCGGTAGGGAATCTCCACAAAGAGCCCCACCTGCACGAAACACCCTTCCCGGTAGAAACGTGCAGGATAGAGCACCATGGCCGGGAGCCTCCCCCTAACCGGTCTGCTCCGGGCCCGAGGAGAAATGCGCTGGGATACACGCCCCAGGACGCAGACCTCGGCTCCTTGACACGAGCACCCCTGGCGCACCCTCGGCAGAGCTTCCGGTGCACACACCCTGGCCAACTCCAGGTCGGGCGACGGAGACCCGAGACACGCTCAGAGAACCACACAGATCAGACCACAAATAATACTCATGCCGCAGAGGATGCCAGCTTATGCTAGGTGCTGGGGTGCAAGCACAATGTAGAAGCAGGAAGACTTAGCAAACAGCTGTGAACGTTGCGATATGCCAAACATTGGACTAGGCACTGGGGGAAAGGAAAGAAAGCAGTCTCTTACGTGTCAAATGAGGAGACGTCCAAATAGGTAAATAATCACAACAATTAATTAGCACAAGGCACCATGGGAGCCCAAAGAGGCATTTAATGCCACCTGAGGTGCTTGGTAGAATCGTTTAGTGTGCTGTAAGCATGGATGGGAAGGCTGAATGGTCACAGAGGAGACTCAGGCAGGCCACGTAGGGATTTCAGTACTGTTAGTACATTATTGTACTCAATTTGTTGATGAATAGAGGGAAAGGATAAAGGAAAGGGAAGAATCAAGGGTGCTTCCAGACTTGGGTTCCTGGGTAGGTGAATTGTAGGTGCCCATGGCCAGAGACAGGAAACAAAGGAGAACTAAGTTTGAGGAAGCCATACTGTAGGGTTCAATAACAGTCGAAATGAATCAATGGTGATGTCAGGAGAGTGGTTACCCTTGGTGATGGGGGACTGACTGTAAGGGGGCATAGGAGCTTCTGGGATGCTGGAACTCTTGGTCCTGGTTATGGGTATGTGGGTGTATACACATGTACAAACTTATTGTATATTTAAGATCTGTATACTTTATTGTATATAAGTTATATCTCAATATAAAAGTAAAGCTTGGGGAGGAAGATGAGTTCGGTTTTGAATAGATTGATTCTGAAATGTCTTGGGGGAGGGTTTTGGTAGAACTGTCTAGTTAGAAGTATATAGATGCATATATATGTGATAAGTGAGAATAAAAGTAGACAAAGAACCTAATATTTAACTAATATATATTGAGCACCTTCTATATGCATATATATGCATATATCTATGCTAGGCAGTGTGCTAGGTATTTATTTATTTATTGAGTTGGAGTCTCACTCTGTTGCTCAGACTGGAGTGCAGTGGCCGCTCCCGGCCACCGCAGCCTCGCCTGCTGGGCTCTGGTGATCCTTCCGCCTCAGCCTTCCGAGTAACTGGAACTACAGGTGCGTGCTACCACGCCCGGCTAGTTTTTGATTGATTGTAGAGATGAGGTCTCGCCAAGTTGCCCAGGTAGGTCTCAAACCCGCGGGCTCAGGCAATCCGCTCACCTCAGCCTCCCAAAGTGCTGGGATTACAGGCTGAGCCACCGAGCCCGGTCTGTGCTAGGTATTTATATACATTATTTAATTTTTCTATAATTCGGTAAGGTAGATAACTTTATCCCTATCTCACCAATGAGGAAACAGTCTTCAACAGTTTAGGTAATTTGCCTGTAGTTTGTAAATTCCTTTCCGTATGGGGGTAGGAGTGGTAAAATTTGGATCATTTTAATGTAGAGTCATTAAAACTGTGAAGTTGAAGCACTCACCTAGGAAGAACATATCTATTTGTCATGAGGGGAAAAAAGCCTAGGATGGGACTCTAGGAAGCACAGCATATTACAGAAAAGTGGAAAGGAGAAGACAGGAGAAGAGAGTGAGAAGTTCAATCAGAGAGGCAGGGAGAAAATCTGGGCAGACTGAAATCCCAAAGGCAAAAAGAAGAGAAAATATTCAGTGGGAGTAGCCAGTAGGGTCAGATGCTCAAGAGAGATTAAGACATCAGTTGAGTCAGCTAGACAGGTATACTAGCCCAGACACGAATACACGGACCCTCTCACTCCTGATAACAGACATGGTAAACTGCAGGAATGCCTTGTGTAGTGAGGTCTGTGAGCATCTGTTGCTTGACTATACCTTCCAGTCCTGATGGCCTTCTCCAGTGTATCGGAGCTGATAGCAGGTCTCTTGGGCTGCCCAGGATGATGAGTGCTGCCACTCCAATTCCAGCTGCCCACTGGAGACCTCCCTCCAGTGCAAGTTTGGGGTGGGGACGAGCACTACAGGGATGTCAGCAAGGACTAGCTTAAGCCCTTCTGTGCATGAGGCATCATGCCACCAGGGCCGTGGGTCAGAAGTGTTAGCTGGGGATCCTGGGCATAGAGTCAGATTCGGTGGGTATGGGAACTGTGTGGGAGAAATGGGGAAGAAAGTTCTTACCAGCCTGGTGGATCCAGAAAGGGGAACCTAGGTAGCTGTGAACAGCACCCTGAGCTGTGGTCACCTCCACAAGAGTGTGAATAACACTGTCATTCCGTGACTTGAAGTGGCAGCGGGAGAACTGGGGGATCTGTAATCCTGGATTTGTCTTCTCTTCCTCTTCACATTTCTCCCAGATGGGGTATCTAAGAACCAGACCCATAGAATCATTGAATCAGACCTCTTCTAGAGACTAATACCAGTTCTTCTCATCCCACAAGAATGATGGCCTACGTGGGTTATAATCTCTAACTCCTCCCTTGAACAGGCCTCCAGGGCTTTCCCTCTGTCTTCATGCTATGATATTTTATTTTCTGAAGTCCACTTTTATGTCCAGCTGCTTCCCTTTGAGAAAGGAGCTTGCATGATATGTGAAAACAGCCATGGGCTTTAGAGTTCAGGTCTTGGCTTACCTGTGTATAACTTTGGGCCAATTACTTGATTTAACTCTGCCTCAATTTCCTTCCATTTGTAAAATGAGTTAATGATAACCTACCTCACAGGATTGTTTCAAATATTAAAGAGCCTTCATCTTTCTGGAGGAAAATATCCTATATTTTTAAATTGTTCTTATATAGCATCCCTCTTACTCCTGTGTGTTATTTCATTATTAGATTATTACAACAGCCTCCTAGCTGGCTTTCCTATCTCCATTTTCGTCACTGCCTTTAATTTTTTTCTCCACACAGCTGCCAGGATTTGCTGCCAAAAATGTTGATATGATAATGTCCAGAATATATCATAATTCTGTTTATTTTTATCTTTGTCACTGCTATATTAGATGGAACCACCATTATCCCTTGCCTGGATTAAGGCAAATTTCTAACTGGTGATTCTGCTTCTATTCTTATTTATTATTTCACAGAGAAACATATATTTTAAAAATATAAATCATATCATGTCTCTTTTCTGCTTCACATCTTTCAGTGGCTCCTTATTCTACTTGGAATAAAATCCAAACTACACCACAGGCCTGGTGGTCTATAGGACTCTGTATGATTTGGTTCCTTCTTACCTTGCCATTCTCATCTCCTAAGATTCTTATGTTGGTTTCTCACCCTTCATCCACACGGGCCTTCTTTCTGTGCCACAAATATGCCAAATGCACTGTCTCACTCTTTGCTTTTGCCCTGAATTGCTGTGACTGCAGGTCTTCATGTGTCTCATTCCTTCTTGCCACTTAGATCTCAGCTCATCTTGTCACTACCCTGGTGAGGCTTTTCCTGACCATTTAACATCCCCCACCCCTTAGTCTCTCTGTATCATATTATTTCTTTACTCTCTTGTCTCCTTCTTCTTCCCTCCTCCTCAGCAATGCTGGAACCTTTTTTGTTTTATTTGTTATTCTATCCCCAGTGCCTGGCACATAGTCACCCTCAATAATTGTTCACTAAACAAATGAATCGTGTCTCCCTCTTGATTATAACCCTAAGTGGCTTGCCATCACTAAAATTATTTATCACTTATGTTTACCCATTTATTCAACAAATAATTGATGTTATATGTCAGGCACTGTGCTAGGTCCCATGAGTGCACAGAGGAATAATCTTCAAGGAACTCTCATTTTAGTGAGAGAGACAGAAAAACAGATGATACTTTTCTGTGATATACAAAGGCCAACTTGGGAGCATCAGGGAGCAGGATCTAACCTGTACTGGGAGGGCCAGAGAAGCTTCCTGAATAAGACAATGTTTAGACTGAGTTTTGGACTAAAAATAGGATAGGCAAAGGGGACAAACAGGCGTCTCAGGCACATGCTTGTGCACAGATAAGAGAGTGCCGTGCCGGGCTCAGTGGCTCAGCCTGTAATCCTGCGCCTTTGGGAGGCTGAGGTGAGTGGATTGCCTGAGCCTGCGGGTTCGAGACCCGCCTGGGCAAGACCTCATCTCTACAGTAAATCAAAAAAATCAGCTGGGCGTGGTAGTGCATGCCTGTAATTCCGGCTACTTGGAAGGCTGAGGCGGAAGGGTCACTGGAGCCTGGGAGGTCGAGGCAGCGGTGGCCAGGAGCGGCCACTGCACTCCAGTCTGGGCGACAGAGTGAGACTCCAACTCAAAAAAACAAAACAAAACAAAATAAAATGCATTGTTTAAAAATTAAAAAAAAAAAAGAGTGAGTGTCGTGCTTTGGGGGAAATTCTAAGTGGTGCATATGGTTTTAACATAGAGTGCCTGGTGGTAAATGGTGAGACTGCAGTCCATGTCATGGATCACTTGTGACTTTTCTGGGGCGCTTGAATGTAATATTGTAGTAATTATGAAGACATTTAAGGATTTTAAGCAGGGAAGTGTTATAATTAACTTTGTGCTTTAGGAAGATCATTCTACTGCAGTTTGTAGAAAGGATTTGTGAAGACAGACTAGAAGTCCAGAGAAGTCCATTAGGACACTGTTGTGGTTTTTCCTGTGAAAAATAATGAGGGTATGAAAACAAGGTAGTGGCAGTGGAATGGAGGAAAAGAGACGATCCAAGAGATATTGAAGAAGTAGAAATGACAAGACTGTTTCTGATTGGCTCTGGAAGATATAGTAATGGGAGAAGTCCAGGATGATTTCTACTTTTCAGGCCTTGAAAACTGACTTGATGGTAGAATGGAGGACAATGAGAGGAAGAGTAGGTTTTGGTGGAGGAAATTATGACTTCCGTTTTGCCACCCTTTAATCCACTCATGACATCTCTGTACAATTATTAAAAAGAATTAGTGGCAGGGCGTAGTGGCTCACGCCTGTAATCCCAGCACTTTGGGAGGTGGAGGTGAGATGATTGCCTGAGCCTGGGGGTTCGAGACCAGCCTGAGAAACATGGTGAGACCTCGTCTCTACAATAAATCAAAAAATTAGCTTGGCTTGGTGGCACATGCCTGTAGTCCCAGTGGAAGGACTGAACTGGACTGAGCCCAGCAGGTTGAGGGTACAGTGGCCGTGACCATGCCACTGCACTCCAGCTTAGGTGGCAGAGTAAGACTGTGACTCACATAAATAAATAAATAGTTACACTTTTTTGTAAAAATCTCCAAGCAAAATAATGAGTTAGCAAAATTATACATATATAAATGTGATCCAATTTATATTACAAGTTAAATCTTATACACAGACATTTGTAAATGCATAGAAAAAAATTGGAATAATACATTACAATTGTTAATAGTGGCCTTTTCACAATTCATTAGCTCAACAATTTTTACTGAGTACCTACTGTGTTCCAGGTACTATGGTAGGTGAGAATATATTGGTGAGTAAAAGTGGACACCGACTTTTCCCTCATGGATCATTTTTAGTCAAGATCAACCTTTCTCAGCTGGAGTTGTGAGAGAGATTTTTATTATCAATCAAATAATCACTAAAATGTAAGCATAAAATTGTGACTATGATCAGTACTTAAGGAGAGGTACATACATGATACAACAAGAATGTAGAATCGTGGTAGTGGATCTAATAAGGAAGGTCAAGGGAGGGTTCCCTGAGGAAGTGACACTTGAGGTGAGATCCGAAGGATAAGTAGAAGTTAAGTAAAGACAAGAGCATGTGCAAAGCCTAGAGGCCAGAGGGAATATGCCAGATATGAAGAAACCAAGGAAGGCCAGTGCCAGAGCATAGGGTGCAAAGGGCAGCCTGGTATAGATGAAGCTGAAGGCATAGGTCAGTCTGAGTCTCTTAGAACTTTTTAAGTCCTTGATAGAGTTCCTTTCTTTATCCTAAGACCAGTGGGAAACTATTGAAAATTTTAAAACAAGGCATGCTTTGTTCATTTTTGTACTTTTAAAAGATCCCTCCAGGGCTGGGCACAGTGGCTTACACCTGTAATCCCAGCACTTTGGGAGGCAGAGGTGAGAGAATCCTGAAGTAATCACCTGGGATCAGGGGTTTGGGATGAGCCTGAGCCACATGGTGAGATTTTGTCCCTACAATAAATAAAAAAATCAGCTGGGCATGGTGGCACATGCCTGTGGTTCCAGCTACTTAGAAGGCTGAGGCGGAAGGATCATCTGAGCCCAGCAGGTTGAGACTGTGGTGACTGTGAGTATGCCACTGCATTCTAGCCTGGGTGACAGAGTAAGATTCCGACTCAAAAAAAAAAAAGATCCCTCCAGCTCCTATGTGGAGAATGATTTGGCAGATTCAAAGCGATCAATTACTAGGTCTTTTTAGTACCATAAATGAGAGAGATGATGATGGGTTATACTAGGGTAATGGCAGTGATAGACCAAAGTGGACAGATTCTAGAGATATTTAGTAGGTAAAATCAACAGAATATGGTTTGGAGCTGGATCTGGAGAGGATGGAGGATTAGTGAGGTGTTTTGGAGGCAGTACGTGAAGGGCAGGCTAAATTTTGTATAATGGAAAGATGCAGTACATATTTGAGTAGGGGAAGACCATGCAAAGTTAGAATTTTACAAAGAATCATGAAAAGACTGAGCTTAACAAAGTTCACTCTGTTAGCAGCATGGGGGATAAATTGGAGATGAATGAGACTGTAAGCTGTTGCAGTGGTCCAGGTGATATGATTAAGGCTGGACTAAACCAAGGCATTCCAGTGAAAATAGAAAGAGGCTGAAAAGTAAAATACCCATTGGAGAATGAGAGAATAGATAAGAGACCATGGAGGCTGTTTGGTTTTGGGACAAGGGAGGAGTGTGAAGAAGACCTAGGACAATCTCTTTTTTCTTTCTGCAAGATTGTGGCTCTCTCCCATGACAGCAGATTCAATCAACAGTTCAATTCTCACCTGTCCCTAGGGCAACACCATGCCCTGCTGTGGTAGAAGAAGCCTTGGGAGCTAGCATGGTCCTGTTGCTTCCACTGACAGGTAACGTTTTTCAGGTCCAAGGTAAAGCATTGCAGTCCAATTGCCACTGAGATCAAAGAAGTAAGTCCCATCAGGATCCATGTGTCCCTACTCTATTGGGTATTCAGATCCTTTCTAAGCACATAACTTAGACCATTGACCCTTGTTCTCTCTTCTGTCCATGAACATAGTTCATCCTGTCTAATGGTGAGTTTGAGGTCCTTAGGAAGGACCATAGTTCCCAGAGTTTTTCAGATTCAGCCCAACCTAGAGAACATTTAAAAAAAAAATCTCTTCCCCATTTCCCTATTCCTTTTGTTGACTCACCTGCATCCCCAGGCAGATCCACGGTCACAGGGAAGGACCAGGATCCCCAGGAGCCACGGAGGGAGACTCCATCAGGTTGACTACGCAGCTGGAGCCAGTAGGAATTGCCAGGCTGGAGCCCTGAGATGAGGCAGCTTCCTCCCATTGCTGTCAGAGCCTTGGGAGAAAAACCCCAGCCTCACAATCTAGGCCTCCATCCCTGGTTTTTGAGGCATCACAGCACCTCTATGGAGAGGAGCTCAGCTCCTTACTGGATAGATATGCACACAGACTAGGGGCCAGGTTAGTGGGTTCTTGAGCTTTTTAGGGAAATCTCCATTAATGAGGCCTGAAAGGCCTCAATTTTGTCAGTGCGAATGACCCAGAATGGGAGGCCCTTAAATAGACATGGCTCCGGAGGGCTAATCAGAGCCTATACTAACTCCCCAAGGACCAACCCAGTCTGGAATCCCCCAAGTGTAGCCTGTCCTCTCCTGGGGCAAAATTGGGAGTAGGGGATAGGAGATGGAGCAGAAGGCCAAAATACTTATCTAGTCAGCGACACCTGCTGTTGTCCATCCTGTGAGGGTGTTGTGGGCTGAGCACATGGAGGCTGGTCCAGAGCAGGGGTCAAGTTTGGTCTCTGCAGAACTGGGCAGCAGGTTTCTGTGGCGATCAGCTGCACGACTGTGGGACCAGTGGAGTTCTTGGGATCCTTGGGGCCGTAGCGGAGTTCATGCCTCAGGAAATCACTGATTTCAGGAGCTGGGGCCTCCCAGCTGATCTGAAGTTCCCCTGGCTGGCTCCCTCCTGTGGCCTTGATGATACTGGGGGGAGCTGGCAGGCCTGAGGAGGAGACAGGGCACATCAAAACTCTGAGTACCACAGTCTATGACTTAACTCATGGACTGCAGAGGGGTGCTGGGGCTGAATTGGGGGTAGTGTCTGGGTTCAAAAAGATCACAAATCATCATTCTCCTGGAGGGCAGGCTGGAAAGGTCCCGTCTCCTGTTCTCATGGGAATAGTGACCTCATTGCAGCATAATGGTTTGTTTGACTTAGTGTGCCTTAAAAGCAGGGATCTCTTTTAAGCTCTGTATCCTCAACACCTATCAGTGTCTGGCACACAGTAGGGACTCTGTAAGTGTTGAATGGGTAAATAAATGAGTATGTTGATAATGGGAGGACCAGGGTGTCCCTAGTGTGAAATGATCTGTGGGATAAGTCTTGCTCTGGGTGCCAAGACTGGGGGGAATGATAAGGGAGTTTTGAGGTGCCTCCAGGGGTGTGGGAACGGGGCATCCATGCTGTCCTGGAAGAGCACTGACAAATCTGACTCTAGGGACGGTACCAGGGCCCTTACCCACACTGTCCACAAAGAGCACTCGCTGGGTTTGAGTCTTGTTCAGGAGCATGTTCTTCACCCAGAGGTGCAGTGGAAAGAAGAGGCGTACTTCATCCTGGACTGGAAACTGGCACACGTACCGGATTCCAAGAGGGGGCACACTCTGGGAACTCAGGGAGCAGGCACGGGGCTTCTCCCTGTTGGACAGGAGAGGTCCCTACACAGCCACCATGCTCAGCCCTGAGGACCCAGACCTGGGCCCCTGCACAACTTCTGTTTCCAGTACACTTTTCTTTCTTACTGCTTGGGATAGGTGGAATTAGGGATTATGCAGGGGCTTGAGATGGGGCCCACATATATACAAAGCATGTCTGTTCATAAATTGGCTATTTAGGGCATGTACTTGGAGGAGTTTTCTGATAGGAGCAAAGACAGGGAAGCCATTGGAGTGGGACTCAACTGAGCTAAGTATAGGGACAGATCTATGGGGAGTGGGGCACAGCCCAACACCTACCCTGGGTAGGCATACAGCAGCTGGTATGTCCCACTGGGTGCTTCCTCTTCCTCATCCCAGAAGCAAGTGAGATCCTCAAATGTTCGGGAGAAACAGTTCAGGGGCTCTGAGTCCGAGGCCGGCAAGGAGACATCTGAGGAACAGCTGGTGAGTTGGGCTCTGGGTCCTCCCAAGCATGTTTATGGGCAACCAGTGGGGGACCAGTGGGAGTCTCCTACTCTACATCTCCTCCCAGGGCTCCCTCTCCCCGGGCATAGGTAATCTCCACCCTCTGCACACCTCACCTTGGCTGATGACTTGTGCCAGGTTTTGGGGGGCCAGAAGGAGGCAGGAGGTGATCATGAAGAGGGCCCAGGAGGGCATCTTCTCCAGCACTGTGTGCCTGCCTTAGCCCATCCTCCCTTCAGGAAGCCGGGCCCCAATCCCCTCCCGGTCCAGCCCCTCGGGTTCCTGTCAGATACAGCCCCACGTCCTGTCGCTGTCCCTGCCCCTCTGGGGCCCGTCCAGACCACACTGGGGCCAGGGGCCAGGGAAGGGGGAGTGGGCAGGAGGGTAAGAAGAATTTAAAAGAGAGGACATCGGCCTTTTGGAAGGAAGACGGGCATTATATATTTGACTATGCGCTACAAGGAGCAGAAACCTCTGTATGTGTCTGTGTTAACTATTATAGAAAAATATAATATCAGAATGGTAACATTTACTGAACACTTACTATGCTGCCATGTGTTAAGCACTTTGTACCTATTGTCGCAGACAAGCTTCACAATAGTCTTGCTATTTCCATTACAGAAACGCGGAAAATTGAGGTGCAGAGAAGTTAACGATTTGCCCAAGATTACATATGTACTAAAAGATAAAGCTTGAGAGGTCAACCTTCAGAACCGAAGCGCATAACAACCATGCTATGCTCTTGGGAGGTGTAATCTGCTGAGAAATGCCTCTCTCTCACACAACCATGGCCAAATGGTGGGTATTTCCACTTTCATAGATTCTGTGACTTGGTGCATGAATCAACACATTCTCCCCAGAACTGGAAATGCCCCTCCATCGTGGGCAACCTCCATAGCTGCTGCTAACTCCTTGCTACTCAAAGTGTGGTTTGTAGACCAGCAGCAATAGTGTTACCTGGGAGCTTGTGAGAAATGCAGAATCTCGGGCCCCGCCTCAGACTACTAAAGCAGAATCTGCGTTTTACCAAAATCCCCAAATGATTCGAATATATGTTAAAGTTTGAGATGCAGTGGTCTTCAGAACTTTTATCTGGTTTGCTCAGAATAAGGGGATGGCTGGTCTCAGCTCTTCAACTTGTGCTCATCTTCTTCACCTTCCAAGCAGAATAGTGGATCTGATCCTGTCAGTGAGCCCCGGGCCTCCTCTTGCGAATGCTGTAACTGTGGGTGGATTTTAGGCCAATTCTAGGGTCATTGACACGATCAGGGGAAGGGACGGGCAGGAGGGGAGTTGGGGGGTGGGTATACAGCCACCATTGGCTTCCACATTTAGCCTGTCAGATCTCTGCTGGGGCTCCCATTCCTGGCTCTACAGACTAAGTGACCTCAGTATCACCTTCCTCTCTTCCTCCTTCTGAAATAACTTTACTAACAATTGTGGGAGGTGGGGAATGGATGGAAGTCCTTCAGTTCTTCTGTAAAGTCTTAGTTTCTCTGGCACCATTTCTCTGCAAGCGGTCTTAGAGCCAGGTTTGTTTGTAGCCCTACCGGGCTCTCAGGTTACAAGGACCAATGGTAAAGACTTTAGTTGTCTCTTTCAGTGTGCATTCAAGAGCTACCCAAACTTTTGTCAGATCTAGTGAGGGAGAACCACAACTGTAATGTTCATGCAGTCTCATGGCTTTGCTTGCTATGTATCTGCTGACTTCAAAATGAATGTCTCTACCTGTGACTTCTTTGCTAGGCCCCAGATTTAGATAGCTGTCTACTTGGTTTCTCCACTTGCATGTCTAACAGGCATATTATACTTAATGTGGCCCAAATCAAACTCTGGATTTTTGTTCCCATCCCTAAACCTGTTTTATTTTTTATTTTCTTTTTTTCCCTCTGGTTTTGTCCATCTCCGTAATTAGTGCCATCATCTACTCAGTTGCTCAAGCCAAAACTCTCAGTACTCCTTGATTCCTGTCTTTTTCTTACTCCACATCCAATTAATTAGCAAATCCTGTCAGACCTTCCTTCAAAGTGTACCCTGAATCTGACACGTTTTACCACCTCCACTCTTACCATCCTAGTCCAAATCTGGGTTACTGCAAAGGCTTCCTAACTGGTGTTTCTGCCTCCATTCCTGCTCCCTTCAGGCTATCCTCCACACAACAGAGTGATATATTTAAAATGCACGTCAGATGTCTTCACTCCCTTCTTAAAATTCTCCAAAGAAAGTTTCCCAGTGCACTTAAAAAAAAAATTATCAAGCAATGACTCTTCCTGATTCCAGTGCACTTAGAATGCAACTCAGACACCTCCTGATGAAGTGCCAGGCCCTGCCCAACCTGGCTCCTGCCTACTTGAAGCTTATCTTCCACTACTTTCTTCTTCACTCTCAATCTGCCACGATAACCTCAATGCACCTCTCATCTTAACCTTCAATGTACTCAGCCTGAGATTCTTCTTCCTTGGTTCCACAGTGTCACATTCTCTTGACTTCCTCCTACCTCCTGTAACATTCCCTCTCAGTTTCCTTCTTGGTTGCTCTTTCCTTTCGTCTTGCTGCTCCCATGTCCTCACTCAGTTCTTCATATTGTCTGAGTGATTGCGTGGCTTCCATTCTGTCTACATACTGGCCACTCCCGAAACTCCTCACTCCCTTGAACTTCAAATTTGCAGTGACTTATCAGATGTTTCGACTTGTTGTTCCACAGGCACTTCACACTCACCAAGTCCCCAAATGGAACTATTACTAAGGCCCCCCCCCCACTTCGATCTTTTCTTCCTCTGTTCTGCATCTCACATAGGCTACCTAGGCATCTAAGGCTAAAACTGAGAGTTATCCTCAAACCTCATTCTCCCTCCACCCCTCCATCCAAGTCCTTGCTAAGTCCTATGTCTTCCATGGCACAGAACCCACTAGGGACTTGTCCATGACTGTCAGAGAGTTGAGATGGAGGCTTTCTGCTGCTGCATGAGAGGAGGTCCAGCTACTTGTTCCTGTCATTTCCCCATTTTATTCTGCTTCCACACAGGTGGAAAGAGCTGCCTCCCCCAGCCTTGATGTCTTTAGAACATTAAACAGGAACTGGGACAGGCCTGTGAGAAAGGAGGCCAACTTAGGTCTGCCTGCTTTGGTTATGGAGACCTGTGTGCTCTTTAAGGTGCAGTCCCACTCAGCAGGCCTGAGTTTTTCTGTTGGGATATAAGGCTAAAGTCTTGGCTTACAAAAGCTGGTGCTTAGCTGAGTGCAGTGACTCATGCCTGTAATTCCAGCACTTTGGGAGGTGGAGGCAAGAGGACTGCCTGAGCCCAGGGGTTTGAGACCAGCTTGGGCAACTTGGAGAGATCTTGTCCCAAAATAAATTTAAAAATTAGCTGGATGTGTTGGCACATGCCTGTAGTTCCAGCTACTTGGGGGGCTGAGGCGGAAGAATTACCTAAGCCCAGTGAACAGAGGATGTGGTGGCCCTGATAGTGCCACTGCACTCAAGCCTGGGTGACAGACTAAGATTCTGACTCAGAAAAGAAAGCTGGTACTTGATCTCTGGGTAGCTATTGCTCAGAGAACTCAAGGGGTTTCTGGATGAGGATTGACCCAACTAGTAGTGTGCCGTAAAACTGGCTCGAGGGAAGCTGGGCTCGGTGGTTCAGCCTGTAATCCCGCGCCTTTGGGAGGCTGAGGTGAGTGGATTGCCTGAGCCCGTGGGTTTGAGACCTGCCTGGGCAACTTGGCGAGACCTCATCTCTACAATAAATCAAAAAATTAGCTGGACGTGGTTGCGCGCGCCTGTAGTTCCAGCTCCTTGGAAGGCTGAGGTGGAAGTATCGCCGGAGCCCAGCAGGTCGAGGCTGTGGTGGCTGGGAGCGGCCACTGCACTCCAGTCTGGGCGACAGAGTGAGACTCCAACTCAAAAAAAACCCCCAAAAAACTGGCTTGAGGGGATGGGGAAACCCTATTTTGTAGAATTTGCTGCTTTTTATGGTATAAGTACCATGTAATGACCAGTTTCAAGCTATTATTATGATGTCACTGAGCAGGGAGTTGGGAAGAGAATAAGCTATTGGCTCTCGGGAGCCTGGAGCTGTATGCTTGCCCTGTCTTCCCATCTTTCCACATTTCCACACACCTGCCATTTTTGTCCAGTAAGAAAGTCTGGGACAGGTAGCTCTAGGCACTAAGACTCTCTGTCTTTCCATCTTTTCCAACATTGCCAAATTTCTCCCTAAAACGATTGTTCCATTTTTACTCCTAGCAGTGTGTTCAGGCGCTGTGTTTACTCCCACACCTTTGTCAGTGTTTTAAGTTTGCTATTCTGATAGGTGACAAATGGTATCTCCTTTCTCAGTACTTTTTCTGAGGTTCAAATTTGCTTTTTTTCTTTCCCTGTCTAAAACGTCTGTGGCTCCACACGATCCTTTGGACAAAGCCTCGTGTCTCCATACTGGAGCATAGAAACCTTTACTGCCTTTGCGCCCACCCATTGCTGGAATCTCTCCCTCTTGATGTTCCATTCCCTAGTTCCCAAGCTCACTCCCCTTTCTTGCCACAGGACCTTGTTCCCATTGCTTCCCCAGGTACAGAACTTCCCCACTTAGAAGCCTGCTGGAAATTTCTTTGTGATTCAACATCTGTTCCCAAGTCATTACTCCTTAGGAGTCCTTTTTTATGCCCTCCCCCACTCCCAACTATATGTAATGAAGGGAAAGTCTAATTAAAAAAGAAAAATACAATTCTGCATCCCTTTCAGAGGCGCCATAGCTCTTTTGTGATCAAAAACAACTTGATGGACCTATTTGTTTTAAAGAGAGGAGGGCCGTTGGGCATGGCCTAGATAGGAAGCATATTTGCTGAATATAAAATAAATAGGAATTTTGGAGCATCTTGTGGTAACTACAGAGAAAAAGGAGGCGAGCCAGTAAGTGAAAGACAGCAATTAGAGGAGAAGAAAGGTCAACCAGCGAGAAATTCAGTGTTAGGTTTGCTCCCTCTTCTGCGAATGTTTAGCTTCCCCAGAACATGCCCAAACATTCAGTAAAAGTGTCCTGTACACAAAACCTCACATTCCCAGTGCTTTAGGAATGAAGGGAAAGAGGTAATGATATCCAAAGAGTTGAGAGAAGATGGGAACCACACAAAGTAAGCAGCCCAGTGACCAAGAATTTAGTAAGAACAGGAAATTCAGATTGAGAGGCAGTCCTAGGATGTAAACCTTGGAGAGTCCTGGTAAAAACAGAAGAGGGCATGGACTTCCCAGAGGATATAGAGTAGGAACCGAGCTATTCTAATTAGACATAAATGGGAGAGGTGACCCCAAAGGGCTGCAAGCCTTGAGGACATTTGGGTTACACATGCATAATCTTTCCTTCCCCTGAGTCCCCATAGAAATTTATGCCTCTGTTGGGGGCTCCTTACAAGTAAAAGCTGTGCTACGCCTCTACTCTAGTGAGACAAGACGTGAACTCCCAAGTAGGGACTGTCATTTGAACTCACTCCTCCTGGGAGTGGGCCTGCCTCCTCCTCCCTGACTCCCTCTCTTACCAGTATCCTACCAGCTACCTATAATGAGCACTTGTTATTTACCAGCACTATGGGAATGCATTGTCTTATTTCATCACACAATGACTGTGTTAGGTACCCTTGTCTTCACTTTACAGGAAAGAAAACCAAGGCTCAAAAGGACTAAATGAGTTGTTCAGAGTCACTATTAAAGGGTAGGACTGAGATTTGAATTCAGGTCTGTTTGGCTTTTGTTCTTTTAACCATTGCATAGACACCTCTGACTAGGATCACATTATAACTGTTTC